AATATAAGTTTTAAACTTTTACATGTAATTTATTAATTAAAGTATTTACAATTTTTTAATAGGTAAAAAAACCTGTATTATTCCTTACTATTAAACAAGAAAATTATATTTTAGATGAATTATATTTATTGCTACATATTTCTGATATACTAATTGAATGTCTTTTTAATAATTTATTTAAAAAGAAAGAATTTGAACAATAAATCAAAATTCAAATTAAACAAATCATGAAAAATATTAAAGTTCATTTTGAATTTTTTAAGTCAAATCTGATAAAAAATGAGATTAAACCTTATTAATGGGACTTGATAAGATAAAAATATTATAACATTTTCCTATTACATATTTTATTTTAGGAAAATGTGATGAAGATATTGAAAAACTTTGATATAATTTTTATGATTTATATATTATTTTAAGGAAGCCAAAATTAATAAATTCTGAAATAATAATTTTGAAATTAAGGTAAAATAATGGATTTATTTGTTTTGTTATTCAAATTAAAGTTAAATAAATTTAGTATTATAGATATCAGGTTTATACTGAAAAGAAGATATCACACTGTATATGTATTTTTTTTTTAAATATATTCTAGAATTCCTACAAAATCTAAAAGAAAAAATTTGTTATTACAGCTCTTTTCCACTTCAAGCATTAAAAAAAAAATTACAATCAGGTATATACAATTATATAATCAAATAAATTTTTTTTAATACTTACTTTATTTTTAATTTAGGTTCAATTATTTTTGATAGAACTATTATAGACAGCAGAATTAAAGAAAATCTGTAGTACATGATATAATAGAATTTGAAAATTATTAATTGTATTATTTAATTAATAATACTTTACAAGAAATTTAGATGCAAAATATTAATGTAGAAGATAAAAAATTAAGATTCTTATTGTATTAATTGATTCATATTTTGAAGTAATAGTCAAAGTAAAATATAGTGAAATTTTCTCTTACATGTAATAATTTCTTTTGAAAGTGATAGATCATTTTGGAGTATAGGAGCTTTTAACACATTATATTTTAGTGTTGATATTTGGTTTTTATTATTTTAATAAAAATGTTGTATTAGAAATAATTTTTGTATTAATAAATCAGATAATATAATTATTTTTCTTGAAATTCTCTGGAGTCAGCAATGAAATTACAAAACATTTTTCTCAATATGAACTCTTTGTTATTTTCTGATAAAATTGTTTAACTCCACATAAATTTAACTTAATATTTATTTTTATAATCTTCAAGTAAAACATAACCCTTAGTATTAGTAAAAGGATGCTGTCAAAAGTCTCAATGATTATATTAAAATATTTGTTTGAGTCTAATCACTTCTGCAAGTCCTTCAAAATAATATTAATATTTTTGTTTAGCAGGATTATCTAAATGACTCTTCATTTTTAAAAAATATATAAATACATTTTTTGAAAAGGTTTTAATTGATTTATATTTTTTTCCAATGACATATTTGGAAAATCCAAGTTTTTTTTAACAAGGACTATAAAAGAATTAATGTAATAAAACATTTGATCTGAAGAAGGTTGAACAAGTAAGTAAAAATGTAGTATAATTTTGTTAATTTTATATTTGCTTCTTTTATAAGTAAGTAATTTTTGATAATTTGCAAAAACTTTGAAGTAAAGCTTATAAATACTTAACATATTATTTCAAAATATAAAAAAGAAAAATCACGTCAATTGTAAAAAGTCATATGCAATAACAATTTCACAATTATTATAAGATAAAATTAAAGATAAGCAAAATTAACCCATATTTTCGATTTGTTTAATTTTGATTGGTTAATCTAATGTAATATATAAATCTCTTAAATTCTGTAAAGATCTGTGATATATTTTTAATTTTAATATTTAATACAATATTTTGTCAAATCTGCAGCTTTTAGCTTAAAGCTAAAGATCATTGTCTTTACTAAGATAGCATAACAGATTTTTTTTTGCTTTATGCATCACCAAATTATTTTAGTTACAGACTAGTATTTCATTCTTCATAGCACTAAGCTTATCTATTGTATAAGCAAAACTAAATATCATATCTCTCAGATTGAAGATACACTTAAAGATTCTACTAACTTATGCAAAAATATGAAGAAGATTTTAGAGGCACAAATAAGAAGTATTATATAGAAGAAGTAATCAAGAAAAAATAATCATGCATATTATTATAAACGTCATATATTATAAGCTATATTCTGAGCTTTATATTTATTTTTGCATGTATTAATAAAAATTTTCTTAGCAAAACTTCTTGAATTAAGATTAGAAAAAATACATGATCATATTTTATTATTTTGAATGTAAATTATATAGTATATAAAATATTTTTCAAAAATGATATCTAAGATTGACTTACTTAGATAAGAAAATACTAGACTTATAGCTAAAAATGCTGAGTTTAAGACCAAATATGACAAAATTAAGGATGAGATTATAAAGCTAAAAACTGAGTTCAAAAATAAAATTGAAAAATTGAAAAAAGCTAAAATAAATACTATTTCTGAAAATACTAGACATAATGTTAAAAATGTCAGGCGTAATAATAAAAATGCTAAATTTAAAGTCAGAATTGCAAAGTTAAAAGAAAATTCTAGACAACTGAGAAAGGATTTTTTCTTTGAAAAACCTGCTGATATATCAGATTCTATAGTAATAAATGATGCAGTATCTGCTAATTCAAAGTTATCAAAAGAAAATATGATAGACAAAGAAAAAAATTTATTTAGAAAGTATCTAAGAATAATTCAAGTACTAATTATTTTAATATTATAGATGAGCTGAACTTGAATTCTTTAGATATTTATCTAGAATAAATAGTACAGTCAACTCTTATTATAACGAACTCTATGTCCTAGACCTCAACTTCGCTATAAGGTTATAGTGAAGATTTTAAGAGATTTGATTGGCCAATTCACTATAACAAGAGTATTTTTATTATATTTGTTCAAAAAATTCGTTATATCAAGAGTTCGCTATATTAAGAGTTGACTGTATAAAGCTATGATTTTTTAGTAGTAAAGATGGAAATATCAATCTTTCTTTTTATATGAAAAATTTTGCAATTCTAAGAATTTTACTAATTATGCAATCCAAGAAGTTATTATATATTAATATCAATTTAGAAAAGTTTTTATCTAGAGATAAAATGAGATAGCATTTGAAAAATAAGTTACTTCAGAATCTAATATTATTAATAGAATTTTAAATATGAAAGTTAAGGCTCAACTTTTGCAGATACTTCTGATGTACTTTTATAAAAAAGAATTAAGTAGACCAAGAAATTCTGAAAGCTCTTTGATGTAATATGTATGAATAAAATTTATCAAATTCATTTCTTTTCTGTTAACAGTATCTCAAAAATAATGAATAAAAACATTTAGTATATTATAGATAATATGTTAGTTGACTAAAATATTAAGATAAAATTGTCTGTCTATGTTCTGTTAAAAAATGGTTTACCAAGTAATGAAAATATTCTGAATTGTTACATTCTGATTATAGTTCAAAAAGTAATAAGAAAAATTCTGAATTGTCATATACTTCTAATGTATCAGAAGAACAAGCACTTAATACATCTTTAAAATTTGAGGTAAATATTTTACCTGCATCTTAACCATTAATTCCTAGAACAAATTCAACCTATGATTGCATCTATTTTCACAACAAGATATTGGATCAATATTTTAATTTATATAGAGAATGTAGTAGTGAAAATTTGATTATTATGGGATTACTGATAAAATATCATGTGAGGTTTTGAGAGAGACCATCTATTTATTATGAAAATTAGGTCATAATGATAAAGAAATAGAAGGTAGGTATAAAGCTAGATCTTATTTTATTAAATTTTAATAATGTAAAATTAAGATAATTGCATAATCTGATTACTTTGGTCAGAGGTATTCTCATATTTGCTCATATTTTATTATGATATTTTTTAGGGCTAACTTTTGCCTACTGTAATTTAAATTGATTTATAATTATATAAAAGAGCAATATGGCCAAGTCTGATAAAACATTAACCTCTAAATATTTGGATTGCTAACTAGATTACTAAGCATTTTGTTAAATAAGATTTATACCAATTTATACAAAAAATATAAAAAGAAACTGAAAATAAGCTATGGTAATTATCAAAATCTGTGACAAATATATCTGAAAAATCTCAAGACTCTGATTTAATAAAATCAGTTTATTTATATAAAATTAGTTGATAATTTGATAGATTTAGTGTTATTTAACATTTCTATTAGATAATATATTTGAATTTAATTCTTATATATATTAAATTTACTTTTTAAATTTTTCTAAAAAATTATAAATAGAATTTTTAAATTATTTTCATATTTTAATTTATTATTTAATAATTAAGAAAATTTTTTAATTAAAAATTATTAAGTTATATTTAATGAATACATTTTTTTAAATAAGTCAAAATATATAAGATTTTAAAATTAATGCTTATAGATAGTAATAATTGAAATAATTCATTTTTTTTTCTAACTCTAATATTAAAATTGATGATAAAATTAATGATTTAATATTTCAATAACTGAAGTATTAGTAGTGTTTTTGTCATTTTAATTCTTTTCTAATGCCTTTATTATTATTTTACAATCTGCTGCGTCAAATTCTTTAATGTACCTTCGCTAATAAAAAAAAGTAATTGATGTGATTATTTTTTATAAACAGTCGTCAAATGGTGATTGTAACACAACAGAAAATCGCCAAATCTATGTCGCGTGGAGTGTCGTACAATTTATACATTGAACGAATATCCTTTTTTTAACCCTTTGACAAAAAACGGTTGATTTTAGATCTTGAAATCTAGATCGCAAAAATTAATAAAATAAAAAACGAAAATTTTTTTATTGAATAGGTTGATTTAAAACTTCTTTTTTCATATTTTTAAAATTCTGGTAAATAAACCCCGCGTGTATCATCTGTTTGACCTCAAATCAATTCAAAGCTATACAATGACAAACATTACAAAAGCAAATCAGAGGGAAAAAGAGCTTGATGCTGCCCGATGCAAAGGTAATTATTCAAAAAAGATAAAATCTTTTCGAATTTCAAATATATTTTGTTTTATTATTATTATTCGATTTCTAACATTATTCCTAAATATAAATCATGGCTGAAAAATAGGTTCCTGGAGTGCAGTTACTGAATTAGCAAGAAAATACCGAAAGCATAATCCAGCTGGAATAGGCAAGCTTTAAACTTTTATTATTCACACATTTTCTCTATTGATTATCGCAAAAATTCTCAATCTACCTGCTTTCACAATAAAATAAATAGTTCTTCAACAAACAGCATTAGCAGAATATGACTTAGTACAAGCTATACAAAAAACTGAATTGGAACAAAAATTTTCACAGCGTAATTATGATGATGATTCACCAGAACAGATTACTTTAAAACCTATTGTTGATGAGACATTAGTCAAGGGTGTGTATGAGAAAATTAACGTTGCCTCAACCGAAGCTCAAGGTCAAGAGAAAGAGGTGAGGAATAAATAATTAGAATGGTAGAGTTTAGTTTTGTGATATGAGATTAAAAATTGATTCAGGTGAGGTTTATATGAATCATTTGATTTATGATTCAATTATTATTGCCACATGCTTCCAATTTTAATTTTTCCTAAATGGTGATGCTTAAAATTGAAAAAAAAAATACGGTGCTATTATTATTAATATTATAATAACTTTATGGTGTTCATTGGAAATAGTAATTTTAGCTGCATATCATGTTGGATCGAGAATATTTTTTTAATGAAAATGTCGGTTAATATATGTATATTTCTAATTCCCTCTTAGTACACGTCAATTATACTTGCAAGAACTCATTTTGCAGTTGGAAGATATGATAAATGTGTGGAGACTCTAAGTATAGATTTTGTTCCATCAGAATTACCAACGGGATACAAGTTTGTTCTTGTTGTTCAAGGGTTAACCATTAAAGGTAGTGGGATTGTAATTTTTTTTTTTTTGCGTAATTTAGAAATAATTTTACTTTTTTATTAAGTAAATATTGATCTTTGTTAGGAATGGCTCATGAAGCTATAAGTGATTTAGTTGGTGCCATTTCATGTTATGACCAGGTTGTAATATTGTTGTCACAGAATATTAATGAAAAACATGATCAATTGTGGGAATGGTCTGAAGAGGCTTTATATCGTGCGCCTTTGTTGAAAATACGATTGGGGTAATTCTGAAATCTCTTACGTTATAATTAAAATAACTATTATTGTCGATATATTTATGAAATATGTTTGATTTTGTATTAGTGACACGAGTGGAGCTCTTCAGGCTTTTCGAACTTATCAATTATACACTACACTTTGGGGAGACAAATTCAAAATCAATAAACGCGCAATTATATATAAATATTTTATTAAATTATTATCAAGAATATATCAAGAAGGAACGTATGTTCCACCAAGTGCTACATCCCTCAACACAAGGTATATATTAAAACCTGTTATTTATATTTCATTAATATGTAATTTTATTTTTAAGTTTTACTTTTTGTTATAGTGAGCAATCTACAGTTTATACTCCGCATACTTTTCGTAATGAATTGACTGAATTACATTCATTGTATGAGAATATTTTATACCAGATTACTACTTTTCCAAAAGCTGGAGAAATTAATTCGCGAATGTTGGAGATGGTCGATCAGATTATGACTGATTGGACTGTTTTGGGTAGTGGAACTGCTGCGGAAATGCGTGGATTAATTGAGGTTTGTACATTATTACTTCGCGCAAGAATTATTACGTAACAAGAAATTTTATTCATCATTCCTTTTTATTTAAGATGCTTCACCGTGTAACACATAAAACCTTTCAATCCCCAAGGGTATTGCGACATCTTATAAATACTTTGATCATATATGGAGATTATGAAGAAGCCGAATTAGCTTTGAACGCGTATATTGCACTTGTTGAAAGAGCCAAGGAAACAAAAATAGAAGACATCGAAAAGCAGATGAATTATTCGTTGACAGAAAATGAAGAAAATGGTGTATCTCATGACCTTAAACTCAATGCCTTTGCCGAGACTTCTGAACAAGTTATACAAATACTGATTACTGGTTCAGATTTGATGGCAAAGTATATGAATAAGGTAGGTAACGAATTTATATTATATTCATTTATCATGATTAAATGAGAGTTGCGTTAAAACTTTGAAATTACCTTTCTTACTTTTAAGGCTAAATTAACGTTGGAAATTGCACAAAAGGCTGTAAATTGGTATGAGAATGACAACAGTTTGGATGATGATGAATTATTAGCACGTGCTTGGCGATGTGTTGGCGTTGGATATAGTTTATTGGCTACAGAAGGTAAAAATTTGTCCTTAATTATTATTACATTTTTTTCTTTTAAAAAAAAATAAATTTCTCGTTCCAAATTATTATAAATTAGAAACTGATCCGAGAAAGCGACCGGAACTTCATAGCAAGGCTATCGAAGCATTGAAAATTTCAATATCATTAGATTCAGAAGCATTTGAGACTCATTACCAATTATCACTTGATTATGCCATGACAAGGGACATTAGCCAAGCGATAATAAGTGTAAGGCAAGCTTTAACACTAGATTCTTCAAGCATGTCATGTTGGCATTTATTAGTGCTATTGCTTTCTTCTCAGAAAGACATTCAAGGAGCACTTAAGGCATGTGAAGTTGCGATAAAAGAATCAGATTGTGAGACAGCTGATTTCACTGTCGATTATAGTACATCGTCTGCTATAGGAAATGACGATGGAAATGAATTTCTTTCATTTAAATTGACACAGAATGCATTGCAGGAATTGTCAAGCGGAACCGAAGTTGCCATTCAGAATTTTGATAAATTATTTATGCTATATGGAAAAGTATTCCCAGATTATAATATTATAACATCACCGAATGGATCAATCTACGATGCTACGAATTTATCACTCACAGTTTCAGCAGCTAAACCTCCCGTTCGTAACAGCAGTGTTAAGAGTTTTACTAGTGCTGACAAAAAGGAAGATTATATCACCACTGAAGGATCAATTTCTAGCGTTGGACAAAAGGACACACTTGGTAGGTGTCAACTTTATTTAACAATCTAGGTATTTTGATGATTCACAAGACTTTCCTTTTTCAATAGATGTGCCTAAAGCGAACTATGCGTCATCAATAGCATCCTCAAGGAATTCGGCATCTTCTGGTATAAGGCGTAGTCCTACATCAACAATTGTAGGTGTACAAACTGCTACAACAAAATTAGTTAATCAATCTTTTGCGTATTCATTGCAAGCAATTACATTAAAAACAAGACAACGTCGTCAACGTGCTGCTAAAGCATTAACAGATTTATGGCTTTCTTCAGCTTCAACTTTCCGAAGACTTGGAAATTTCGAGGAAGCGCAAAAAGCCATTGAAAATGCCGAAGAAGTTGATAATTCAAGTCCTGATGTTTGGTGTCAGGTAATTTACAAACAAGTTAAATTTTTTATTTTGATTTAATGCTGTGGAACTAAATTAATTGAATTTGGAAATGCAATTTTTCCTTTTGCCTTTTTTATCATAGTTTGGATTATTGTTGCTCATGCAAGGTAGTTATACTGATGCTATAACATCTTTTCATAAGGCACTTGCAATTGATGACAAGCATGTACCTAGTTTGGTACATTTAGCAAGGACCTACATGGAAACAGGTGATTTAGAGATAGCAGAGGGGCTTTTAGACGGTGTTGCAAAAAGTAATGGATGGAATTGTGCAGAAGCCTGGTATGCGTTTTTTTTTGTTTTTTTTTTTGTTTTTTTTTTTTTTTTTTTTTTTTAAAAAAAAAAAGATTACTAAATTTATTGCTTAAATAATACCTTTATTACAATTAGGTTATATCTTGGTAAAATATATCAAGCAACTAGTAGAATTAAAACAGCCAAAAATTGTTTATGGTATGCTTTTGATTTAGAAGAAACGAAACCAATTAGGCCATTTAATGTATTACCTAGGTGTTTATAGTAGTTAGGAAGAATATTAGTGTAAATTTTTTATTCCTTAAAATAAAAGGAACTTTTTATTAGATTTTTTTATTATTATTATTATTATTATTATTTGGTATATTGTAATGGATTTTATTAAAAAAAAAAAATTAGAGCTTTTTCCCTAATGAAACTAGTATTAATAGTTTTTAGATGATTATTGGTCAAAAATCGATTGCACATGATTATGATTTATTTGCCGGGTCACATATTCTTATTAGAGTGTGACATGTTCAGATTTAGCGTTACAGCAAATTTCATAAGTTACGGGACACCTGGTAAAATTTTTGCCGGGTTCTCGGGTTCTCAATTTGCCGACAACCCGAGAACCCGGCAAAAATTTTACCAGGTGTCCCGTAACTTATGAAATTTGCTGCAACTCATTTTTTTTTTTTTTTTCCGGCAGATTACCCTTTTAATAACCCCTTTAACTAATCCTAATCTTGCTAAATATCCGGCAAATAAAATCCGGCTACCATTTTTTCCGGGAAACGTTATGCAATTCTAATAAAACCAAAACAATTTATTTTTTTTATTTCAATTCAAAGAAAATATTTATGTCAATTATTTTTTCAAAAAGGTATATATCGTGTTATCTATCTACATAGGTATATATTTTTTTGTTTAAAGGTATAAAATAATTTAAATTATTTCTTAGAAACATGGAAAAAATTGAAATGGGAGGTCGCGGCGCAAAACGCGGAGCGTTCGTGACATATCATAAACGAATAGACTCTGTTGAATATTTTTATACTTATGACTCTAAAGAAATTAAAATTTACTCCGCAAAAACGGATAATTTTATTAAAACTTTTAGTATTAAAGAATACAACATAATAAACAAGTTGGTTGAAGATAGCGAAATAAAGGAAATTGTTTACATTACAGATGGTTTCTTAGATAACGCGAGTCTTTTGGTTTGCTCGCGAACAAAGAAAAATTTATATCATTGCTTTGTTTGTGATATTAACAACCTCGAATATCAACCATTACCGATTAACCTTGATTCCATGATACCTTCAATTAATGATGTCGTCGTTTCTGAAAAAATTGAAACCAATGTAAGTTTTAATCGTTTCTTTTATGCACTTTAAAAGAAAAAAAAAAATTGCCTCTAATTCATGATAATATCAATTTTTTCAAATTTTAGGATGAAACGCAATCAATTTATGTTTTCATCTTTGCTTCAGTAATTGGATTGTCAATCTATTGGTTAACATATAATCCTTATAATCAACACAACTTTAATTTCATAAGAGATCTTAATGTAAAATTATCCACCAGAGATTCTATTACAGCCGTGAATACGTATAGTAGTAAATTGAATGAGGGATTTGATGACAAACATGGTTTTTATATAATAGCAGGAGGTGTACAGGGAAATATAGAATGTTTTGAGATAATGAATGATGGATCAGATTATAAAACATTTTCAATTCCAATGTTGAAATTGGTTGGAACCTCAGATCCGGTACCACCCGTCACTCACATAGTTATACGGACTCTGAGTGATTTGAAAGAGCGTTTAATATTCGTCGGGTATGGTAAACTTAATTCTCGAATTTTTAATAGATCTCCTTTGGCTCGGCTTGATAGAATTCCAGTAGTACGAATTGCAAGATTATCGTTCAATCATGGAAAGTTAGATTGGAATGAGATCGATGTAGTCGTCGGAAATCCTGGAGCTGACGTTACGAGAGGTGAAATCATCTCCATGTTCGTTACATCAGCTGACACAGAATACAATTTATATGTAGCATTGGATATGTACTATAGGCCAAATAACTATCGTTCTCTTGATGGTATAGAGGTGACACATTACAAAGTAAAAAATTTAAATTGCGTCACATCGACCTGGCATCGTATAGATTCACTTTGTAGAAAATCTTCAAATCTTAATGAAGTTCCTCTCTTAGATATTTGTGCGGATCAAAATAATCGACGCCTTAAACTTCTTTTGCCCAATGATGTTGAATGGTATCAAATCTCACCTCTACCTAAAGATGAAAGTGATGATGATGATGGTATACCATCATTCGAGAGATGGTTTGAAAATTTGGAATTTAATCAAATTGCACCGTACAACATTGAATCCATTAAAGACATTGAAGCTCAGCGTGAAAAGTATGAAAATGAGCTTATGGTTGACTTATTACTTGAAAGAGAAAAAATTGATAAATTATTTTATCCACCTGAAAGTTTACATGATTTGAAACAATTATTTGAAGAAATATTTAACAATAATGAAGAAGATTTGGTTTGGAAATATGGTATAATGTATTATTTGTTGAGGGATTGGAGCTTTATTCCAAGACTATCACAAAAATTTATCGCGCGATATTTGACTTTATCACAGGATATGCAAATATTTGTTGATGGATGTTGGGAATTAGATCATGAAAGATTTGATGAGGCTGTTAGATGTCTTTCTGATCCGATTGTAAAAAATTTACTATCAAAGTTTCCAAGAATTGATGAGAAGATCATGAGAATTTTCTTAATCTCCTCATGTCCAGATCACGCACTAAAATATTCTCATTTCCGTTGTATAGTAAAAAGTTCAACGGAAATAATGGAACTTTATATTGAGGCATTGATACGTAATAGTATTATAAATACTAGTGAAGCTTTAAAGTTTGCAGTAAGTAGATGCGATCAAACACATACGTTTTATTAATTCGATGATTTCCATTTAATTATTTCTCGATTCTAGCGACAAAACAAGTCAGATGATGATGAAAGCGTTAGTAGGCGGCTTTTGACAAAAATATTAGATATTTGTGTTGTAGAGGATAAGACAGAAACGCAGGTATATGAAAAGGAATTGTTGAGTTTACCATTGAATGATTATGAAGAAAAGTTCGTATTGAAATATTGGGAGGAAAGTAAGGAACCAAAACTGTTATGGTTTTACATCAAGGAACTTGTAAAAAATGAAAATTATAGAGAATCACTCGTATATTTTCGAGTTTATAAATGGTTCAAGGAGACGTGTTTGAATATGCAGTTGACGAATGATGAGATACAACTGGGTGTGAGCACTGAAGCGAAGAAAAATGAGGATGATTCTGATGATGAAGAACTCGAGGATGACATGAAAGAAAAATTAAATCATTACAAAAGGTTATTTATAGGTAAAATCCTTTTTAAAGATAAATGTGTTTTGTATATTTGGAATTAGAAATTCAAAAATCATTTATACGTTTATGTATTTATTAGGTATCCAATCGTTCAGCGATCAGATGGGAATTGATTTGGAATCAGACAAGTTCAAATACAAATCACAAGAGGAAGCGAAGAAACGTAAACGACAGGAAAGAGAAAAATATTATGAACAACATGGGGTGAAAAGAGATAAGGTCGTACCGTTACTTAAAAACCGGTCGCCTCTCTCAGCATCGAATTAGCCAAATCGGGAAAGACTACATGATGACGCAGCGCCATGGATCAAAAGGTTAAAATGATTTTCTATTATGACTTGATATCGTGATACGAATTATTCTTTAAGGTAATATATTCGGGAGTATTGAAAATGTAATTCGCGAACGCGAAAATCACATTATACTTTGTAAAGGGAAATATTATTTATGGTAATTAAATCATAAATCGGAAAATTTGATTTTTTTTAAAGTTAAGTTGACAGAAGTATTAAAAACGTGTCATTCATCAAGTGATACAGAGAAGTTGGCTCGTGACCATCAAATTCATTTGTATTGTGTAATGATATATGCTCACCTTCCAAAACGGTGAGATACAAGGATAATTTTAGATAACAAGTTTTAATTCTGGCCATTTGATATTCGATATGAAAATGGCGGTCAAACACAGGTTTTTTAACTATGATGGATTCAATGATTAAATAATTCTATTGTCATCACTATAAATGGAAAGAGATGCCTTGGTAACATTGTATGACCACGCGTCAGTTCACTTATGAATGAACACTAATCAAGATTTCTTGTTGACATTCAGTTCTAATAGATTAGGTAGCAAAGAAAGTTGGAATATTGCATACATGATTGATGATTGATTATACGAATGTTGTGACATTTTTCACTTGTTCTTTGGTGTGATGTCAAAAGTATTTAATTAAAATCCAATAACTCTGTACGGATTTAATTGCTCAAGTTAAAATGTGATACTAACTTCTTCGAAAGAGAGTGACTAATAAAAAAAAAATTTTTATTTTATTTTATTTTTTCAAAGAAATATGGGTACGTGAGGGGAAAGGTAGTACTATTTTACGATTTGAATCCTTGTTTAACTGAAAGTAAGGGATTGTTTGAAAAAAAGTATTTATTTATGCATTTTTTAAAGTAATGATATGAATAATCATCTTGCGTGATTTTAATCATCACGTTTTTTTCAAATTTTTGTGAAAATTAAATGCACGAAATGTTCGATTTTGGGATTATTATGCCGATTAAAAAAGAAATGATTTTTTTTTTTTCTCGATCTAAAAACGAGAAAAATATTATTATATTATTATTAAATTTAGAAATGAAATCTTTTTTTAGTTTATTCTTGTTTCGGATTAAATTGAAATTTTTTTTTTTAGGTAATGGAATAAAAGAGGGAACTAAATTTGGATCAACCTTTTTGAACTTTGATTTGATAAATCGATTTTTTTTTTTGTGGGGTATGCAATAGGTTAACTTGAAATATATTTCAATCATTATTTCGGGTTAAAATGAGAATTATAACCTTCTCGATCGAAAAAAAAAAAAGGTGTTAATCATAATAAAAATAATAATAATAATAATGATAAATGGTTGGATAGTGGGATTTCGTTTTAATCGTTTTGTTAATTTTTTTTTTATTTGTTCAGTTTTATTTTTTTTTATTCCAAAGCGGATTCGTCAATCAGAGTTTTACCACCTTTTCATATCATAACCATTCGTTGTAAAAATCCATTTATTTTATTTATTTATTTATTTGTTTTTTTTTTGTTTTCACATAATACATTTACTCATTTGATTATTCAAAAAAAAAAAAAAAAATGATTCTATTTTTCTTCAAAAAGAGGTTAGAAAGACTTATTCAATTAGAAAAGAAAGGGGCTGAAATATGGAATACAAACATCAACAACATCATTACACAGAAGGATCATGATTGTAAGGATGAAACCGACTTTAGTAAGAATCCATATAACATGTAATTCCTCTTGAAAAAAAAAAAAAATAAATAAAATCAAAAAGGATGAACGTCATGATGAAAATTTTACAAAAAATAAAAACACTTGAAACGTTTTTTTTTTTGAAATGATTAAAAAATTTCATCAAAATTTGTCAATATTTATTTTATTATTCATCATTCCCAAGGGAAAAAAAAAAAAAAATTTGTGCGTTGTATATATATATTAACGGTAACTCAACAAAACTTAATTTGAAAATAAAAAAATTTTGACATACCAACCAATTTTTGATGCTAGGTCAGTGAAATTTTTTTTTTTCCCTCCTGCCAAAAAAGGACATCTTTAATATTTCCAATGTCATACTTGAATAATATAAATGCGCTTTTTTCCCTTGAAAAAAAAAAAAAAAAAAAAAAAAAAGGATGAAAAAAAAAGTGACCATTATTCATCTATAAACATTTTTTTCTTCTATGAACCAACAAGCACATTCAGAACACAAAAAGAGGGGAATTGATTAATAAAGAAAAACTGTAGCCACCGAACGATCGACAATCCCTTTTCATAGGTAGGAAATTCCATAATGTATGTAAAAGAATGTATGCGCGTCATGAAAAGTTTTTCGATTAAATTAGCATACATATTGACAACAATATGTCTCCTTTATGACATTATCTTTCCCTGTAAAAAAAAAAAAAAAAAAAAAAAAAAAAAAAAAAAGAAATCCATTATATTTAGGTTAAAAAGTAAACATCTACCATTTTAGTGAATGAAGTGCATTCTTGATTACATAATAAATCATTCCGAGAAATTTTTTTTTTTATTTTTGGTCCAAACGAATTTTTTGTTCAGATATGATCTATTCTTTAATGTTTTGGAAACGAAATAAAGGAAAGAAAAGATATTGTTCGAGAACGTTAACGTAAATGGGGTTTGGCAAGTTCACAATTATCATAAGTGATCGACTTTTGACATCATGGTGAAGATCTTACGACCACCTACTCGATTCTTAATTAACTTTTTTTTTTTTTCTTCAAAAATGAAATAGAATTATTTTTGAAAAAAGATTTGACCTAAAAAAGGAAACGAAAGAGGACCCAACTTTTTTTTTATATAAACCGATCAACAGGCACACCAATATTCAGATGAGATTTATATATTAGTAAATTTCATTTAAAGTAATAATATCATTTTTTTTTTTTTCGGTATAATGAAACTTAATTGAATCTAAGTGACACGAAGAATTCTTACATACATCGTGCATATTTACATGAAACAATGGATCTACAAACTGTAATTCACACTGGAGTAGATTTGTATGATAAGGACAATTTAACTAACTAGTTATGAATATCTTTGACAGTTGATCTTTTATTGATCTTTCCTTGGAAGTAGAAAAAAAGAATTTTCCTTAAAAAGAGAAAAAGATTTGAAACGTTTTATTATCTTTGGGAAGTGAGATTTTGGAAGTGGGATCCAATAAATATGAATCATAAAATCAATCGGTTGGTCTTTATGAGGATTATCTATAATAAAACGGAATATAAATAATAATTTACTCCAACATACAGAAAAAATAATCTTATAACGAAAAGTTCTTATTATAATGCAACATGTACATTGAAAATCTCATCGTGCAGCAGACACTTTAAAGTTTAGTTAGAATTTAAGAATTTCAGAATTTTTTTTTTTTTTTTTTTTTTTTTGTATTTATAATAACTATAATAACTGATTTATAAACAACTGATTGAGAATGATTAACTAATAAAGTTAAGCTATTGATAGATACCAAAAAAGTTTATTTTATTATCACTAAAATAAAATATGCTAGAATTGAAATGGTCATCACGTTCTACGTGATGGTACGTTTCGTCACACCAGAGTGATATCTTTTACAGTCTTGTTTTATGAACAATAATATTTGTAACCCAAAATTTAAAACAAATCTTTTAATTAATTCGTTTAATCGAAAAAAAAAAAAAAAAAAAAATTTTTTTTTTTTCTTTATTGCTTTTTCCATCAATTTCTTTTTTAAACGAAAATTTATCATACACTATTAACACAAACAATTATGTTGGTACCGTGGTGGTATATAAAATTTCCGGTTTTCTCCATATATTAATCACCACAAATAACAATCATATGGGTTACACTCGCTCTTGTGTCACCGTCATTTAAATGCTTTAAACTTTTAAATTTATCCCGCATATATAAAAAAAAAGAACTTTTTTTTTTAATGAAAATTTGCGTCGCAAAAATCATCAGAGAAAAAGAAATTTTGAAAAGGATACCCTTTTTATAATATTGAACATGGAAAGGTGATTTGCAAGTGAAAAAAAAGGTCGAATTACAGATTTAGAGTAAAAAAAAATAAAAAATAAAATATAACAACAACAATAATAATTTTGTTTAGAAAAACAAAAAATATTACGCAAAAACTAAGTTATAAAAATTCTCTTACTTTATAATTCTCTTTTTAATTAATTGTTGATTTGAGATCATTGGTTTAGAATCATACAGCAATTATTGGTTTAAAAAAAATTTTTTTTTAATTGTAGATTAGCCTGCGCTCGAATCAATATTGTCGTCGTACATAATCGATCTAGAATTTTAACCTTTTTCTTTTCTTTTTCTTCTTTTTTTTTAAAGTTCAGATTCTTGGCAAATAACTCTATGTACTTTATGTACGAAATATTACATGCGAAGAAATCCAATTTAAATTACAAAATAGACATTTGAGATAAAGATGAATTGGTGTTACAAGTAAATATTTATGATTCAAAAAAAAAAAAAAAAAATACGGTTTCCCTGAATACGAGATAGAATACGTTAATGCTATTTATGTCGGATATCGTTAGATAACGATGTTGATGAGAGATAAGTTTTTGTATTATTTACTAACCAGCGAATGGTACATGATAAAAAATGTTGTGTTTGGATAAATAAGTAAAATTACCGTAAATGTTTTTCATTTTTGATACATTAAAAAAACATATTATTTAATATATATATATATATTTTTTCTTTGCCTTTCGGATTTACACAGATTATTACTGTTCACTACTGTTCAACTTTGACGACCAACAACAGCAACGAATGAACTGCCTTGTATTTTATTACTTTCCCCTTCGTTAAATTAACGGACAATCAGGAGTCTCATTACCGGATTCCCGATTGGACTGACTTCTTTTTCATTTCGATTTTAATTTTTGCAGATTTTTGATATTTCGTAGAAAGGTTTTTTTTATTCATGAAATAAAAAAATAATTTAGGATTTCATTTCGGAAATGATCCAAATCGTGGATCGCCCGAACATCATTTCTTTAACGAACATTTTCAAATGTTAACGAATAAAAAGATGAGAGGTTTATGAAGAGGTAAAATGGAGTTTCCTTCCTAAATGCCTTTAAAGAGTAAGTCGTAGTGTCAGTAATTCGTCGAGTAATTTTTGATCCGATTAATCACGGTCTCATTTTAAACCGATCTAAATGCGTGAAGATCATAATTATCACAGTCCATGATAAGTTGTAATATCCCGATGTAATACATGAGGTGAGACAAGTCATTCTCTTACCACAAACAAATGTAATATTAGATAAACAGAGGATTTTTTCATTCTGTAAGTGATGGATTTATAAAATCCAAAGATAGGAAATTAGGAAATTAGGCGTTAATTAAAGTTTTAATCTTTTAATTAAAAAAAAATAAATTAATAAAGCAGATCATACGGGCGTGGCGTATTTAGACTCCATCAAAACCGAAAAAAATAAAAAACTCGAAGAAAAAAAAAAAAAAAGTGAAATATTTTTATTTTTTTTGGTGGTTATCATAAGGTAAGGTGTAGATCCGCAATGCATAACGATTCTTCCACGAGTGATGGCGTGTGTTGTCTGTCATTCACGACCCTTGTAATAAACAATATCACCACCATCCATAAGTTGGTAGAGGGGGGATTATGAAGAGGTACAAGATAATTTATTATGTGATATAGATAAGAACTTAATTATTAATTACCAAATGCGGAATAGCTCGTCAGATTTGGCGCAGCAAATCCCGTATACTTGGTAAGTTAATAGCGGTAACACATCATAAATTATGTGGGATATCATCATCAATGCATATTTGTTGTTGTTTTGTTTAAGGTAGTTTGTGTGTGTGAGTGGAATGAATAAATTACCAAATTGTTCTATTATGGTTGTAACATTGAAAAAAAAAAAAAAAAAAAAATTTTTTTAAAACCCTTTCCTAATAATTCTCACACTTTTACTCATTTCAACAAATTAAAACTCGTCGAAAAAAAAAAGAATATAATTTTCTTTCCATTTTTTTTTTATTATTTTTTTTTATTATGGAACGTAATCACGAGTTAACTAATTATATTCCAAGTATAAACAAACAATTTATATATCCCATAAGAATGATCGTGGGTTTTTGCAAAACGGCTCAACAGTTTTGTACTTTTTGTAGTTGTTTGTTGTTTGTAATTTTATTCTTGATATATGATAAAATGTCCATATGTATTTATTATATACATTTATATATATATTAAAACAACCTTCTCGACTCGGAAATATTCAAGAATTTATCTGATGCAAAAAAAGATAGTTGATGATATCCAAATTAGGTGGTATTTAGCTGTAACAATCCCTGCGTATCCCTCATAATTAACTAATATATTTTGTCCGTGTGTTGTTTATTTTTTTGTTTACTATTTACCTTTTGGAACCAACATGAGTTGTACATTCATTTATTTTCCCTTCTTCTTGGGCTCTTTGTTGTTCTCCACTTTTCCCTCCCTTCATTACATTATTACATTGTTTTCAATTTTCCGTTTAAAAAATTTTTATCATCCACTCAATTTGTTTCTCTCTAAATACACATCGGCACCTGTTTATAACGCTAACCATATTTATATGATTGATGCCATAATGTTCAAAATACTGTGACCTTAAAAAGTATTACGTTTGTCGCACTATTTTGCAAATCGACCAATTACTCTTTTGATCTTCACTTTTTTTAATTAAAAATTGTGGAAAAAAAAAATTAGTTAATTTATTCATCATAATCAAAAATGCAGTGCTTTAAACTAAGTATCATAAGAGGTGATTTCTATGACCCAACTTACCCTACCCCTTCGCTAGTGAAAAAAGAAGATCGGGGTAAATCTCTTCTCAATTAAATCTAATAAATCCATGTAATGTGATTTTTTATTTTATTTTATTTTTTTTGTGTGGTTTAAAGTTTTTCATGTTCCTACCATGCTCGGTTGATGTTTGTGTGTGTGCCCTGTGCTTCTTCAAATTGTGAAATTCCTAAAATTCTCTAATTTTTTTTTTTTCTTGTGTTTCAATCACAAAAAATCATTCTTTACAATAATTACAAGTTTAAAATCAGGTTTTTTTGCTCCCCACTTCCAAAAAAAAGGTTTTGCTATTGCTTATCATCATCAAATATGATGTGTAACACACTTTCTTTTCTATTTATACTTACACATATCATAATCGATTACATCTTAACTTTTTAAAAAAAAATTAGATTTTTTTTAATTTATTTTATCCTACTGTAAAATTTTTATAATATATTAGAAAAAAAAAAAAAAAAAATTTTTTTTTTTTTTGCGATATAAAATCCGTTGATAATTTCACACATTTCCGTCACAACATACTTCTTTCTATTAAATCAAAAAAAAAAAAAAAAAAAAAAATTAAAAAATATTATATATCTTTTCTCTCGTAGACTTATTTTTTTATTTTTTTTTTTTTTCTCTTCGTATATTTATAAAAAAAATTTTGATTTATAGAAAAAAAAAATTTTATAACTATATTTAAGGTAAAGAAAAAAATTTAGAAACATATTAAGTAAATATATATATATATATATTTTACCTCGTTACTGGTTAACTTCCTCCCCTCTTGTTCGGTTCAAATAAAAAAAATTTTCGCACTCCGTTCAAACTCTGTCGATATCAACACTTCTCTTTTGATTATTATTAATCAAGCTTCCCAAATAACGAGTTTTGAGTTTTTTATCGAGTGTTTATTTTTTTTTTAAAAAAAAAAAAAAAAAATCCACCCAATAGCGAATAAATTAGAATTTTTTTTTTTTTTTTTGTTTATATACATACATAATTCAACATAATTATTTTTAGAAAAAAAAATTTTTATTTTCCCTTAGCAGATATTTAAATCGTCTGATTCCACCCCAATTTGATTTTTCTCGGTTCAAATCACCTTTTTTTTAAAAAAAAAAAAAATTTTGCTTTCGACCAACTGTAATTTTTTGTTGTATTTTGCCCTCCCCTCCCCAAATATTATTATTATCATCATCATCATTATTATTTTAAAGAAACCGTACGTGCAGAAAGTTTTTTTTTTATCCGTCTTTAAACGAATCAAATTTGATAGCCCTCTAAAATAAACAACTGTAAGTATCTTTTATCCGTTCGCTCAACAAGAAAATGCATGAAAAAAGTAAAATGAACGAAATATTCAGAGGAACTTTACATTAGAATCTTCTTTTTTTTTTTTTTATACTTGACTCCCTTTAATCACCTCCTATTTACCTCGAATTCATATGAAATCTTTTTTTTTTTTTCATTCAAATGTTCCAAAAGATTTTCCCCCCTACTCAATCCAATTTTTTTTTTCCTCCAACAACTTCCTTATCCACATTGTTCCCTTTTTTCATTTTTGTCATTTTCCTTTTGAAACTCACTGAAACGTTTTGACTTTTCCGTTTGTTTATATTGTTCATTGTCGATCGACACATTATGTTACCCATAATTTGATCTGCATATTCGTTTATTTTTGTTCCGTCATCCCTTATTTTTTTAACTCGATGTATGCTATTCATCTGATGAACTTTCGTTAATCATTTTGTCTACTCCTAACTTATTGCTTTTTCTTTGAAATCAATCTGTCCGATCTGTTTATTTCCTTCATCTATCATTCATTAATTACTGATCGATTTTCCTCGATATCTTTTTTTTTTTTTTTTTCCATCCGATTAGGTTCATTTATCAAAATTAATCACATGGCGCAACCAGAAATACCAACCTCAGATATGTCTCCGGCAAATTTTGGGATACCGACCCCACCGGCGAATGAGATTTCAGATGGGAAGAATCCATTCTTCTCAAGCCCGGATGTCTCGACCGATAAAGAAGGGAAGAATTCCATCCTATCCACTTCCCCTTCTACACATGATGCTGCTGATGCTTCATCAGAACCTACAACCCCTGAAATTTTCGTCTACTCCCAATCAAAATCTCGGTATTATATAAAAGATCAAGCGTTAGTTCCGTTCCTGATCGCGAAAATAGCCGAAGAAAATAATATTAAATTACCAGATTCTTCACCATTTCAATGTGGTGGAAATTATGGTGGAAATTTACCAATCTCCGCCCCCCCTTCTGTTTGTGAATCCGTCTCATCCCTTCCCGATCTGTCAGATTCCGCGTCCACGCCAATCTCTCACGAGGAGGATTCATCAGATTCGGTTACGTCGGATCGGCCCAACGTGATGTCATCTTCCGTCACGTCATCGGGCGCAGCATCCGGTTCTATCACGTCGCCTATCATCACATCACCATCAAGCATCACCAAAACGTCATACAGTGCCCGAGTTCTGCAAAGGCTTACCAACTCATCAACCAATGCCGCTTCGGGTCTTGTTGATAATAAGGATCATAAGGTCACATCAGATCATGTTAAAATCAATGAAAAGGAAGAGGACAACAACAACACCACCATATCATCATCCAGAACTTCCATAGTCAACGCCATCGTTGCCGCCGCGGCCGCACCTAGAATGAAGCAAATTCCAAACCGATCCATTAGAAGAAGTAAGCGCAAAGGGATTCCGTACAAGTCCCCATGTCATGAGGACTTGTTACGTGAACCTGGATTCGTATTTAGCTTTCCGGTCCTTTTCGGTAATGCGATACCTAATCAATTCGAAAGTGAGGGCAACGATAAGAATGAAACAACGGAGAGAGAGACCAATACGGGGACGGGATCACCCACCGTCGTTGACAATGAGCCATCATCAGAATCGTCACAGAATTTAAAGAGTAAAGGCACAACGATCATGGATCCAATGCAACATGTCACGATCGATCACAAGAATCTTGCCGCAAAGATAATTCATCGTCCTGTATTATTGCCAGATATCGTGCGTTCGTTAACTCAAGCAAGACGATCAAAGATGAGAAGACCCGTAACCAGGGCAAAAAACAGGAGAGAGAATCAAGAATTGGAGCTATTGGGACTCGAACATATGATGGATTCTCCGAACGGAAATGCGACGGCGGGTGAAGAAGGAAGGGTGAACCGAAAGCGACGCGTCCCTACGGTCGGTCGTCCCTCAAAAAAGCCAAATTTGCTTTCATCCGGTTCCCAAGCTCCCAGATCGTCCAACTCCGGTGAGAATAAGTCTCCTCGCGGTTCTTCTTGTTCTACATCTCCTGCTTTCTACCGCATTCCGTCCAAACGTCGTGATTCTATGTCTGTATCATCGCTCTCATCTATTCCTTCATCAGAACTAAGTGATTTTGATCTTAATTCAGATAATTTTGGGGATGATGAAGACGACCCAGATTTCGCTCCTCCGGCTAAGAAACGAAAGCCGGAGTTGCAAAAGGGTCCAAAAGCTCCCGGTAGAAAAGAATCTAGCAGCAAGGTAAAGGTTTGTGCCAGCTGTAGGACTAAAAGCACTCCGTGCTGGCGTCCGGGCTGGAGTACCGATCTCATGTTGTGTAATAGCTGCGGATTAAGGTTGGTATTCTATTTTTAACTTACACGACTTGATGTAATACCCAACTTAACTTAATTTTTCTTTTTTCCAATCAGATATAAGAAGACAAAGTGTGTTTGCACTAATCCGGAATGCAGATATATTCCACTAAAGACCGAATACAACGCGATGCTTAAGAAACCAAAGAATGCCGACGTACCTGACCTCAAACGGTGTTGCAAATGTCAAACTCCATTGTGAGCGTTGTAAATTTGAAAAAGGAAAAAAAAAAATTTTTTAATTTTTTTAAAAAAAAAACTAATATATATATATGTGTATATATATGTATGTATATGTATATGTATCGACGTAGGTCGATATAATGTATATATAATCACAAACCAAAAAGATTCCCTTTTTTTCCTGCACGATTTTTTTTCATTTCGTTTAATTTTTTTTTTAATTTTTTTTTTTTTTTTATTTCGTGAAAAAAAAAAAAAAAAATTTATATATATTATATCGATAATATAGTCGATAGCATTAAATTCATGGTTCTCGTATGTAGATATTTTATCATACGAAAGGAGAGTTCTTTTGTAGTATATATATATATTTATTTATTTACTCTCCTTCCTTTTGTTTATAATCATACACATTCTTCAGGCAATTTTCGAATTTTGCACAAATTTTTTTTTCACTTCGTATATAACAAGATTCACGTTTTTTTTATAATAATATCATTTTCCATTATCATTCACGCGTTTTTTTTATTTTTTTTTTTTTTTTAAAAAAAAAAAATTTGTATAGCCGAAGTTAATATTTTTTATTACGATTTTTTTTTTTAAAATATCGAAACAATTTTTTTCTCTCCCTATAATAAGTTTTACCAAGAATTACTAGTCTTCACTCTTTTTAAGTTATTTATTCGGAGACTTCAATTTAGCTAGCAAAACAAAATATATAACGAAAAAATTTTTAATTTAACAGAAAAACGAAAAAAAAATTTTCTTGTTGATAATACAAGAAAAAAAAAATCCCATTAAAAAAAAAAAATTTCGCAAAAAAAATTTAATATATCAACCGCATTTTAACACAACACACAAATTAACATATTTAACAAATTAAGCATTTTTCGAGAACTTAACTAAAAGGCGCGCACACTTTTTGCTGGCTAAAATCAACAAGAAATTTTATGTTTTATATATATCTTTATTTTTTTATTTTGTTTTCGTATATATATATTTTTCTCCTTTTTTCTTCTTATATATATTATCCATTGTTTGTTTTTTTTCTTCTTATATATATTTTTATTCCTTTCTTTGTACTTATCTTTTTCTATGTAATTTTCCCCCTCCCCCTTTGGTTTTTCAATATGTATGTAAATTCATTAGGTTTTTAGGGTTTTTTTTGTTTTGTTTTGGTTTTTTGGTAATTTGTTTATTTTATAAGGTATCAATTTTCTTTTCATCTCATCACTCCATTAATATTTTTAAATGAACAATTTATAATAATTAATTTCTATAAAAAAAAAAAAAAAAAAAATTCGGCTTTATTTTTTTTTCTATGAAGGATTTTTAAGACGAGAGCTTAGCATTCGGTTTTATGTAATATATTTTTTTTTCTTTATATATATTTATTTATTTATCTTTATTTTCGTTTCCTCTGGCATTTCTTGTAATAATCTGAAAATAATTTTTGTAATTTTTTTTTTTTGTTTTTTTTTTTATAATTTTTTTTTTTTTTTTTTTTTAAAAAAAAAAATTGGCAAATCAAAAAAAAAAAAAAAAAAAAAACTAATTGATAAATATCAAAAATATCTTATTTGAGAATTGGCAAAAAAAAAAAAGACTTTATTTTATATTTTTTTTTTGAATGAAAAAGTATTTTTTATTTAGGAATTATACGCGTAAAACAAAAATTTTGAAAAAAAAAAAAAAAAAGAAAACGTGTTCCTCATGTGCATTTGCCCGCATATCACAAAATCATACCTGTCAAAAAAAAAAACGTAATGAAAATAATGATGAAATGACAATGGAAACCTTATTTCTAAATTTAAAAAAGAAATGAAGTTTTTCCCGCCAAAAAAACTTTTTTTTTTTTTACCCTGTTTGTGAAACTCGAATAGTTTTTATTTACCGCAAATATATATCATCAGCACATATATATATTTTTTTTTTGCATTACATTGTACATTAAAAAAAGTTCCTTTTTAACTGGTTAGTATAAACTTGAAAATTTATGTTACAACTCGATATTTTTTTTTTTTTTTACAATGACTAACTGATTGATACATTTTCCGTGAGTGAACGAACTACTTGCTTCAAAAAAAAAAAACAGGATTTGGGAATCAATTTCGCGTCTTGCATCGACTAAACGCGTATTATCCATTAAAGTTAATAAATTTTTTTATTTGTCATGTAATAGTTTACATACTATAGTATATAATTGAACAATTGAACTTTATTTGTTTAATGCATGCAACTTGAACGAAGTTTCTATATAAAAAAATATATTCGAAATTTGTTTTAGCCAATCAAATTAAGCATTTCTCAGATGTTGCCTTCTTAATTGATCCACAAAGTTTATTTGTTTAAAAAGGAAGGATTAAGCCTTTTTTATCTTGATTGCAAATAAAAAGACTATTGCTGTTCTTGTTTTTATTGCATTGTCTCTTTTTTTTTCCATAAAATCTTGACATCATAATGACTGTTTGTTGATGGATTTTCATAACAATATAAATTACATTCTCATTAACGCTATAACCGTTTGGCCAATTGACCCATTGGTTCGATCTATACCAAAATTGGTCAAGTTCTTCAATTGTCAAATTAACTGTGTCAAAATAAATTTATTCAAAAAAATTCTTTTTTTTCTATAAAATACCTACTTATTAAAAAAATATATATAAAATTAAAAAAGTTCAGAATTAATTAAATTAAAGTTAAAATAAATATATAACCATATCTTTATCTTACATTAAAGTTAACTAAATTGAATGCTCTAATTATTATTATTAATCAAATATTTGTTCAGATTAACTGTAACCTATTAATACTAAGTAAAATTACTATTTTACATAATTTGAATTTTCACATAGATTCCCTTTTCTTCTACTTTTAAAATCAATTATTTTTGAAAATTATAATAAGACTAATAAAGCATTTTTCTAATTAACTTTTATATTTTCTATTCATTATATCTGAAATCTCAAAAGAAAAAATAATAATTATATCAATAAATACTTTGATTATTTTTAATAAATCTTATTTCTATAATCATTTGATTTTTTTTTTTCATATAAAAAATAATTTATTAATATAAATCTTTCTAAATACTAATATATATTTTTAATATAAGACTAGAAAATGGAATCCATATGTATCCAAAGCGAAATACTATATATTTCTATTTATAAATCAATATTATCTAAATTTTTAATAATATATACAGATAAATAAATATTCATATTATTGAATCTTTTAATATAAACATATAAAGTCTTTTGCTTCATTTAGATAATCATCCATATATTTAGATAAATAAAAGATATGATTTATAATATATTATTATATCTTATTTAAACCTTTTATTAAAAAATATTATATAAATAAAATACAAATTTCTAAATCAGTTAAATATCTACTTATGTTTTATATATATAAATTTATAATTACAATCTATCTTTTATGATAACTATCATTATAATTTTTTTATTTCAAAATAAAATAATACAAATTATACATTTTTAATTAAATTTATATCTTTTTTTTTGATAATAAAATTAAAGAAAATGTAATAATTAAAAATAATTTAATCTTTATTAAAAATTTTATATATAAATAGTTATTATATATTATAAAGTTTAAATAATAAAATGATTTTTTATTTTTTATATTACATTTTCTTTAATTATATCAATATTCTTATTAATTATATATGCAAATATTTTATAATGTAAATATTTATAATATTATTTTAGCTATATAATTATTCAAATAAAATTTTGATTTTTTTATATAGTAAATAATCTTTAAAATTTTTTACTTTTTTATATCTATATATAATTAAAGTTTCTTATAAAATATTTAAGATTTTATTATTCAAAATATTTAAAATTATTACAAAAGTAATAATTATTATTTTATCTAATAATAGAATTATAAGCATATTTTATTAATCTAATCTATTTTTGTATAATTTTATTTATAAATAATTGGAATATTTTATTATTAATATTTGATTTACTATATTCAATTTTTTTATTTTTTTTTGTTTTTATCAATTTATTTTTTATATAACTTTTTTTTTCTTATATTTAACTGATAAAAATAATTGATTTATAATTATATTTCTAAAAAAATCTACAAATATTATAAATAAAAAATAAAAAAAATAAAAAGAAAAAAATATTTATATAAAGTATATAAAATTAAATATTATAGTCAGATTTTCAGGGAAAATTGTTTTATATAAGGGAGTATTATTATATAATTTATTAATTTTTTTTATACAATTTATAATGCATTTTCGTAAGACTAAAATTACTGATCTGTACAATAAAATGTAGATAAATCAATTAAGATAACTTGAAGTTCTCACATTGCACTATTACATATTTTTTTTAATTTCTATTAATCTTACATCTTTACATTGCTATCCACCTCTAAATATATGTCTAAGAAAAAATAATACACAAAATGCTAAATTATTAACTTGATTAAATTTTACTCATTGAAGGGAGAAAAATGGAAAAAAACTGAAAACAATGATTTAGTGAAGGTAATATAGAAGAAAGGTATTCTTTTATATAATATTTGTTATATGAATTTTGTAAAAAACCTTTTAAAAAAGATCTTAAGAGAGTAAAAATTACGGAAGAAGAAGCTATAGATGAAAATACTGTAGACATAAAAGGTATGAAGGTTGATCTTATTAGAGCTATCAAGATGATGACAAAAATCCTTTATGAGAGAGAACATGTAAAAGAAGAAGGTCTTATATATGCATTTGATAAAATATGAAGATTATTTTAAGAAATTGATCTGAGTTTAAAAGTTTTCTTTAATCAATTATATTCAGCAGCTCAGCTATTTAAATATAATAAGCAAACAATAAATCATATGAAAAAATTAATGGTGTTAATTTGTTATCTTCTTGCTTCATTAAATAATACAAAAATTAATTGCTTTAAGTTTGATCTTGCATATTATTTAAATTCAGTAGGCATAAGTAATAAGGGCTTAAATATACTAGCAAATATT